AACAAACTAAAAGGAAAAGAACATGGGTTGCCTCCCATGAAGCAAGCAAAATGTTGAAATGCAAGATGCATTCCATAATCAAATCTTGTGGCTTCAAGTCACTCAGAATAGCCATCTTGATACCACAAGAATGTGCCATCAATTAGCCTATCATGCCTCCAAGAAGCATTCTCTTGAATCATCCAACATAGAAGAAAATCTATCTTGCTCCACTCTTCCAACATCTCGGGGTCCTTCTTGGTTTGGCATTGATCAAAATCAATATACTCTGTTTGCACACACCAAGTGAATTCAATCTTACCTCTGCCCACATGACTCTCATCAAGGGAGATAATTGACTCTTCTTCATTCGTAAACAAAGTTGTATCCTTCGAGTCAATTATCTCTCTTTCTGGAGAAAGAGTCTCATGAAATATTGAGCACGGCTCACCTTCAGCAAACAGTCCCTCTAAACACAACTCCTCATCAAGTGGGTTACTAAAATCTTGTTGCACAACTTTCTGCTTAGCTGAGTTTTTAACGCCACTTGAGGAAGTGTGTTTTGTCACTCCCCTGAGTGGGAATGGCAAAGGTGGAACATAAGGAGGTGGTTTCTGATATGGTGGTGGTTGCATCTCCACATCTGGTTCTTCCTTTACCTCCTTCACCTCCATTGGTAGGACTAAACTCTGATGAGAAAATTGCTCTTCCTTCCTTTCTGAGATTTCATTCAACTTTTGGAGCACTTGTTGTATTTATTCAACTCTTTGCTGCAACTCCTTTAAATTTTCCTGAAATTTGTCCCACTCTGTTTGACTCAACTCCCAGTCGAGCTCACCTTCATAGCACAGGGACATTGGTGGATCATAGTAGTAATAATCATGCTCATAAGAATCAAAATCGTTAAAAGCACAAGGGGGATTAAAACTATAACTAGGTGAAATTTGTTGGTAATTATTCCAATAATAAGAATTTCCTATATGTGAAGGATAATCTGCCATTAAATTTCAGCGTTGGCACACTCTTCTCAAATCAGAAAACTAAAGGGAAAAAAACAAAAACAAACAAATGGTTAAAACAAGTTTTTCGCCGTCCCCGGCAATGGCGCCACTTTTGGTGGGTTGTCGAAGCCTCCAAAATAATTTACCAACTTAAACTGTAGATAGGATAAGTCAGGTCGATCCCACAGGGACGGGTTAAACTTCAAATAACCGAAACACGAAATTGGACAAACAAGAAAGAAAGTTGCAGAGTGTCACTCACTTGCACGAGTGGGTAAAGTCACTCAGGCAAGTGACTCTGCAGAACTGAAGACAAAGAAAGACAAATGGAACCTCACTCACGGGAGTGAGAATTCCGACTCAAGGGAGTGACTCAACAAACTGGATATTCATTCTCTTTTCCCTATGTAATCAAGTTGTAATCTTCCACTCTTTTGGTATGAATTCATGCTCATTCAGGCACTTATATATCTCTAAGTCACTTCCGATTTTTCCTAGAGGTATCTTTATGAACTCAATTAAACTATTTTTCAATGATTAATCAAGTCATAAAGTCATTAAGTTTTCAAGCCTTATATGAATGCTTATGCTAACCAAGTATATTCCTATCTCAATTAGAACCTTGGACTGTTACCTCCAAGTCATAAGTTGAAGCTAAATGATTCTGAACCTTGTTTACCCTTCCGGAATTCACTTAGTTCTGTGCACAATCAATCAAATGGCCAATTTAATCAAGAGGTAGATGAAAGCTTTAACTTCAAAACACAAAATCATCCGAATGCATTCACAAACTTAAACTACATACGTTCCAGAGAATGAAATCTAATTAACTACACATACAAACTACGGAAAATACAAGAAAAGAAGGAAAGTTTTGAGAAGAAGCAAATCTGGATGGCTGAGCAACAGGTCACTCGCCTGAGTGACAAAGGTCACTCAGGCGAGTGAGGTCTGTTACTCCTCTTTTTCTGCTACTGAACTTCTTCTTCCTTTGGAGTTTTCTCCCCTCTCCGCTCTCTTCTTCTCTCTCTGTGGTGTTTTGTGTGTTGTATGTCCACTCAGATGTGTTCTTTATACTGGGAATGCAGCTCCATTTATAGAGCTTGTTGTCGGGTTCTTCTTCCAAGAGAGTCTCACCATGCTTGTGGATTTTTTATTAGCCCCAATGCCTTGTGTCTTGGATCCGGTTTTGACTGGTCTTTTGCCCATTCTTCAAGTGCTGGTATCAGCAGCAGCATTGCTCAATGTGGGTGGTTAGTTTTTCTTTCAAGGGAGCAAGCATGCTCTTGGAATTTAAGAGTGGGACACTCTTGTTGGCTTGTGCTTTGGAGTACCTTGACCACCTCAACAAATTTGAATTCATCAGCCCACATTTTTGTTCCATAAGCCTCCTTTTTCAGCAATTAATCACTCAGGTCCTTACCTATTTGAAAACACAAAACAGTTAAGTAAAAAGAACTAAATTCCAAGAAACACCTCTAATTTCTTACTAATTGAAGAGTAAATTGCCATGCTTTTTTGTAACAAATTAACCGTTATCAACTCCCCCAAACTGGAAGAAGTGCTTTTCCTCAAGCAAAACAATCTAACCCCTTAAGAACTATACATAGAAACAAGAAAACAATAGCTAACTACTGACTCCCCTGAGTGAAAATATCACTCAGGCAAGTGGCACTACTGACTCCCCTGAGTGACAAAAGTCACTCAAGCAAGTGACACTGCAACAAACACACAAGAACTTCGCAGCAACTATCAAACACAACTAGTTCATATGACAATCGGATACAACATCTCAGACGCAAGAAAAACAAGTATATCTTCATCCAAATTCGAATTTCACCTAGTCTTTACGAAATCACCTCCATGTGTGTGTAAATCATGCCAAGTATGCAAAGTAACAAATTAGTATAAGGTAAATAACAACTCATGGTGCATATTTAGATATTTCTTAGCCTTATGAATCATTCTTTCTTACAACAATCATGCTAATGTGGCCAATACAGCTTCAGAGATATAAGGACTCTCACAATTCATTTCTTTTCAACTATTCTCCCTCATTCCCTTTTATTTACCTACGAGTCTTTTGGCTTTTTCTATTTATGACTCATGATTCTTTTTCTTTCCAACTTCCGAACCCTCCTACTGAGAGCTTTCGATAGGAGACTTTGCTTTCCAGGCCAAAGGATCACTCATTGTTGCCATTTCACTCTAAGGGATTTAGCATTGATGCTCTACCTTATACTCCCTCAAGTTCTTTTGAACTTTTTATTTACTCATTTTTGAGCATTCCGCCTACCGATTCCCAAAGAAGGTATTAGAGAAGGTTATTTAAGCTTGCCTTAGTCAACTCTTTAGCATGTAAACAAACCACACTTCGCATTCAAGTGGTAGTAAGAAAAGTCATTTAAACATTTTTAACCAGTTTAGAACACCGTAGAGCATGCTATAAAACTCAACTTCAATGTAACTAAGCATAAAAGGCATGTGTGCTTAAGTAGTGTAGAGATGATAACCAAGAGTTAGGTAAAATCAAAATTTGAGTTAGATATAAGAAATTAAGGACATTGGTCTTCATAGATATCCAATTATCATAGAACTAGCATTCACAAAAATCTGAAAAAATTTGCAAACATATTCCCTACTACTTCCCTAAACTTATTCAAAGCATTGTCCTCAATGCTGACAAACACATAACATAAAATAAAAAACACAGAACACAAAACAAAATGAACACAAAAGAAAAAAAAAATGCAGAAAAATGAAAAAAAATGTGTAGTCACTCGCAGGAGTGATATTCTCATTCCTGTGAGTGAGATAGATGACTGATGAATTCCTTGAGTTAGAGCAATTAAAATGGATGAGGAGGGCTTAATGGTGCACATCATTCATCATATGCGTTTGACGGTTTGGAAACTCTCGGTTGTGTTGAACATCAGAACACAACAAAGATTCAACAGCAGTATGGAAGAGTTCAGAATTTTTATTTTTCTCCATTGCCACTCGCTGGAATGACTTTGGTCACTCGCGGGAGTGACTCCGCAGTCCTTCTTTAGCTGCAAATTTATTTTTCTCAAATACCAAGGATTAGAATTGAAACACAGACTAAAGATATCAGAAATTAAGCTCATGAAGTTCCTTGGTTCATACGGTTAAGCACATAGACTAGAAAGCAACAAACGTAATCACTATAGTTCCATAAACAGATTCAGCTTTTAAGATCGTAACTCAAGAAAGAACTAAGTGATTCATATGCACTCAAACATGCTAATTCTGAAAATTATAACAAAACTTGCTAGATATGGCATTAATGCTCATAAAGATACTAGAAGTTTACCCCAAACTAAAGTCTAGCAAGTACACATTAAGCACACCAAATTTCAGAATTAACAAGCTACTAAGGGATATGACATACAAAAGATGTCTCAAGAACTTAGAAGAAAGAAAACAGAAAGGTAAAACAAAATATATGGGTGGGTAAAAGAAATAAATTGACTTCAAACATCAAGTAGGTTCACAGTCACTTTGCCGAGTGACATGAGTCACTTCCCAGAGTGTCTTAGAACTTTCAGCAATACACACAAAATTTCAAAGTCAACAGTTTCAGTTTTCAAAATTCCCATATTTAAGTTAGAAACAAAATAAACTAACAATAATCATGCGTGAACAGAGCAGACATCAATTCTCCCAAACATAAAACAAAGCACAGATCCTATGCAAACTAAAAGAAATCGAAAGCAAACCAATCACAGCAACTCAGTTTGTTGCAGGCACACTCGGGAGAGTGACTAATCTCACTCTCCAGAGTGACTGATATCAGAATCTGCTGCATTTTTGGATCACCCATTGAATTGGAATGGCATTAATACTTTTTCTGCACATGGAAGCACACACATTAAACAAGAAAAAATTAAAATCACACAAAAACAAACTAAAAGGAAAAGAACATGGGTTGCCTCCCATGAAGCAAGCAAAATGTTGAAATGCAAGATGCATTCCATAATCAAATCTTGTGGCTTCAAGTCACTCAGAATAGCCATCTTGATACCACAAGAATGTGCCATCAATTAGCCTATCATGCCTCCAAGAAGCATTCTCTTGAATCATCCAACATAGAAGAAAATCTATCTTGCTCCACTCTTCCAACATCTCGGGGTCCTTCTTGGTTTGGCATTGATCAAAATCAATATACTCTGTTTGCACACACCAAGTGAATTCAATCTTACCTCTGCCCACATGACTCTCATCAAGGGAGATAATTGACTCTTCTTCATTCGTAAACAAAGTTGTATCCTTCGAGTCAATTATCTCTCTTTCTGGAGAAAGAGTCTCATGAAATATTGAGCACGGCTCACCTTCAGCAAACAGTCCCTCTAAACACAACTCCTCATCAAGTGGGTTACTAAAATCTTGTTGCACAACTTTCTGCTTAGCTGAGTTTTTAACGCCACTTGAGGAAGTGTGTTTTGTCACTCCCCTGAGTGGGAATGGCAAAGGTGGAACATAAGGAGGTGGTTTCTGATATGGTGGTGGTTGCATCTCCACATCTGGTTCTTCCTTTACCTCCTTCACCTCCATTGGTAGGACTAAACTCTGATGAGAAAATTGCTCTTCCTTCCTTTCTGAGATTTCATTCAACTTTTGGAGCACTTGTTGTATTTATTCAACTCTTTGCTGCAACTCCTTTAAATTTTCCTGAAATTTGTCCCACTCTGTTTGACTCAACTCCCAGTCGAGCTCACCTTCATAGCACAGGGACATTGGTGGATCATAGTAGTAATAATCATGCTCATAAGAATCAAAATCGTTAAAAGCACAAGGGGGATTAAAACTATAACTAGGTGAAATTTGTTGGTAATTATTCCAATAATAAGAATTTCCTATATGTGAAGGATAATCTGCCATTAAATTTCAGCGTTGGCACACTCTTCTCAAATCAGAAAACTAAAGGGAAAAAAACAAAAACAAACAAATGGTTAAAACAAGTTTTTCGCCGTCCCCGGCAATGGCGCCACTTTTGGTGGGTTGTCGAAGCCTCCAAAATAATTTACCAACTTAAACTGTAGATAGGATAAGTCAGGTCGATCCCACAGGGACGGGTTAAACTTCAAATAACCGAAACACGAAATTGGACAAACAAGAAAGAAAGTTGCAGAGTGTCACTCACTTGCACGAGTGGGTAAAGTCACTCAGGCAAGTGACTCTACAGAACTGAAGACAAAGAAAGACAAATGAAACCTCACTCACGGGAGTGAGAATTCCGACTCAAGGGACTGACTCAACAAACTAGATATTCATTCTCTTTTCCCTATGTAATCAAGCTGTAATGTTGCACTCTTTTGGTATGAATTCATGCTCATTCAGGCACTTATATATCTCTAAGTCACTTCCGATTTTTCCTAGAGGTATCTTTATGAACTCAATTAAACTATTTTCCAATGATTAATCAAGTCATAAAGTCATTAAGTTTTCAAGCCTTATATGAATGCTTATGCTAACCAAGTATATTCCTATCTCAATTAGAACCTTGGACTGTTACCTTCAAGTCATAAGTTGAAGCTAAATGATTCTGAACCTTGTTTACCCTTCCGGAATTCACTTAGTTCTGTGCACAATCAATCAAATGGCCAATTTAATCAAGAGGTAGATGAAAGCTTTAACTTCAAAACACAAAATCATCCGAATGCATTCACAAACTTAAACTACATACGTTCCAGAGAATGAAATCTCATTAACTACTCATACAAACTACAGAAAATACAAGAAAAGAAGGAAAGGTTTGAGAAGAAGCAAATCTGGATGGCTGAGCAACAGGTCACTCGCCTGAGTGACAAAGGCCACTCAGGCGAGTGAAGTCTGTTACTCCTCTTTTTCTGCTACTGAACTTCTTCTTCCTTTGGAGTTTTCTCCCCTCTCCGCTCTCTTCTTCTCTCTCTGCGGTGTTTTGTGTGTTGTATGTCCACTCAGATATGTTCTTTATACTGGGAATGTAGCTCCATTTATAGAGCTTGTTGTCGGGTTCTTCTTCCAAGAGAGTCTCACCATGCTTGTGGATTTTTTATTAGCCCCAATGCCTTGTGTCTTGGATCCGGTTTTGACTGGTCTTTTGCCCATTCTTCAAGTGCTGGTATCAGCAGCAGCATTGCTCAATGTGGGTGGTTAGTTTTTCTTTCAAGGGAGCAAGCATGCTCTTGGAATTTAAGAGTGGAACACTCTTGTTGGCTTGTGCTTTGGAGTACCTTGACCACCTCAACAAATTTGAATTCATCAGCCCACATTTTTGTTCCATAAGCCTCCTTTTTCAGCAATTAATCACTCAGGTCCTTACCTATTTGAAAACACAAAACAGTTAAGTAAAATGAACTAAATTCTAAGAATTACCCCTAATTTCTTACTAATTGAAGAGTAAATTGCCATGCTTTTTTGTAACAAATTAACCGTTATCACATTCATAGTCTTTCTTGCATAGTTGATAAATGCAACACTCTATTCCTCCTTCGACCTAGCAGAACTCCCACTGCAAAGTCACTGGCATCAGTCAAGAATTAAAATGGCTTTGTCCAATCAGGTGTGACTGTTAAAGGAGCAGAAATAAGCTTCTCCTTGAGCTCTTCAAATGACTTGATACAGGGATCATCAAAGATGAATGCAGCATCTTTCTCCAGGAGGTTACACAAGGGCTTGGATACTTTTGAGAAGTCCTTGATGAATCTCCTGTAAAAACCTGCATGGCCAAGAAAACTTCTCACTCCATGAAGTTTTGTTGGTGGATTGATCTTCTCTATCACCTCTATCTTGCTTCTGTCAACTTCAATGCCCTTCTCTGAAATTTTATGGCCCAAAACAATGCCTCCAGAAACCATGAAATGGCATTTTCCTATTTCACTACTAGGTTGGTCTCTATACACCTCTGCAACACCTTACTCAGGTTCTTCAGACATACTTCATAAGTTTTTCCAAACACAGAGAAGTCATCCATGAAAATTTCAATGATGTCTTCCATCATGTCTGAGAAAATAGCCATCATAAACCTCTAGAATGTTGTAGGTGCATTGCACAAGCCAAATGGCATCCTTCTGAAAGCAAAAGTGCCATAAGGACATGTGAGTGTAGTCTTCTCCTGGTCTTCTGCAGCATTTGATCAATAAAAGGCAGTGGAAAATGATCTTCCCAAGTGGCCTTGTTGAGTTTCCTGTAATCCATGCAAACTCTCCAAGCACTTACCACCATAGTTGGGATGAGTTCATCTTGATCATTCTACACCACAGTCATCCCTCCTTTCTTAGGGACTGGACTGGGCTCACCCAAGCATTGTCAGATATAGGGTAAATGATCCCTGCATCTAACAACTTGATTACCTCTTTCTTGACCACCTCATTCATGGCTGGATTGAATCTTCTTTGACCTTCTATGCTAGGCTTAGCTTCTTCTTGAAATAGGATCTTTGAGTGCATATGGAAGGACTGATGTCTTTGATATCAGCTATGGTCCAACCAATAGCTTCTCTGTGCATCCTCAGAACTCTCATCAGCTTATCTTCCTCTGTCTTAGTCAATGATGCTGAGATGATCACAGGCAAAGTGTTGTTGTCTCCCAAATACACATACTTGAGATGTGTTGGTAGTGGCTTCAAATCTAGAGTAGGTGGCTCTTCCAAAGATGGTTTATACATTTTTCCTTCTTTGGAAAGATCCAACAGCTCCACAGGTTGGCTTCTGTGTGGCCACTTGGGAGAGTGATCTATGTATGTAACTTAGGCAAGTCATGGCTGATTTCTCATCCACAGACTCTGCATCAGATTCAATTACCTCTACAGATGCTTTCTCAATGGTCTCTTCCACATCATCAATCTTGAAGCACTTCTGCAACTCTGCAGGGAATTTCATGTTGTTGAAGATGTTGAATGTCACCTGTTCTCCATCAAACTGCAAAGTGATAGCTCCCTTCCTTACTTCTATGATAGCATCACAATTTACTAAGAAAGGTCTGCTCAAAATGATAGGGACATCCTTATCCTCTTCCATATCCAGGACAATAAAATCAGTTGGATAAATGAATGATCCAACTTTTACCAGAATGTCATTCAGTATGCCCTTTGAATAGGTCAGGGATCTATCAGCTAGATGCAAGGTAATGTTAGTTGGCACAAGAATATCACTGACTTCAGTGCATTAAAAATAGATAAAGGCATCAAGTTAATACTTGCTCCTAAATCTAGCAAAACTTTCTTAAATTTAGTGTTACCGACAGTGCAGGGAATAGTGAAACCCCCTGGATCCTTGAGCTTTGCTGGCAGCTTCTTTAGAATCGCTGCACTGCACTCCTCATTCAAAGTTATGAATGATGAATCATGAATCCTTGGCTTGCTTGAGACTAACTCCTTCAGGTGCTTGAAATACTTTGGCATCTGCTTTCCAAATTATTCATGAATCTGTCGATAGCTGCATCTGAAGTCTTCTTCCTAGCTTGTCTGAGTGGATAAGGGGGTGTTGGAATATCAGGCTGTTGTTGAGGAGATGGAGATTGAGCCTCCCCTGACAAGCCTGATTCTGTTGTTGAATGCCCCTTTGGATCCACTGCATCTTCTTTTTCTTTAGTGAGGTCGATGATATCTTCAGCTTCCCCAGGTTCTTTTGCAGGTTCTTGACTTGGAATCTCACTTGTGGAAGTGACTTTCTTTTCAATGCGAAGTGATACCACCTTGGCTTGCTCATGTGGACCTTGCCTAGGGTTTTCTATAGTATCACTTGGCAGACTGTCTGGTATCCTTTCTGCACATAGTTTCTCATTCTAACTCAACCTTGCAACAAATTGACGTTGGTTGGCTTGTAAAGACTTGAACAGTGTCTTTATCTAAACCACATCACTTTATTTTTAACTCTATTCTGATTTTTGAAAACCAGGTGGTTTGGTTAGGACTTTGATAGCTGCGTTGTTGCTGATTGCTGTTCCAGTTGCCCTATTGGCCTCTCCAGTTGTTGTAAGGATTAAAACCACCAAAAGCTAACTCCATCAACTCAGGGAAGTTGTCAATCTTTTGTGGGCCAGAACATGACTCACACAATTCAGGAAGTGACTTGGCAATGCGAGCTTCTACTTTGGCCATCTAGTTCAAGAGTTGGGAGAGTTGGGCTTGCATATGAGTAGTTGTATTTACTTCAAACACACCAGCTTTTTTGGGCAAAGCTCTGGCATCTTATTGCCATCTGCAGTGGTTGGTCGCCATGTTCTCCAGCAGCTGGGTTTCTTCTCCCACATTCTTCATCGTGAATGCCCCACCAGCAGAGGAATTGGGGAATCTCTGGAGGACTGAGTTGGGCCATTATAGAAAATACGTAACCTCATATGATCCTCAATCCTGTGTACTGGATATTTTCTCAGCAACTCTTTGAATGTTTCTAAAGACTCATACAATGATTCATATACTAGAAATCAAGAAACAACAAGTAACAAGTAACAAAAGCGAAGGGGTTTTGATTTTTAAGTTATCAGATCAAAACAGAGCATAAAAACAATAAACAGTAACCAATTTTCAAAAGATGTTTTACGCCGTCCCGGCAACGGCGCCACTTTTGATG